ATGCCTTTAATAAAATACTTAATTCCTGGTAACAATACTTTATTATTTTCTATGTTGCGACCAGGATTAAGAAAGGAATGCTTGGTGGTTTGATAATGTAGAAAAATAAATGAGGAAATAATGACAAAGCAAATTTATGTAACAAGGGATGCCCTAGACGGAAGTTTACCGACAAAATTGCACTCTTAAAAGTCTTATTGCCTTAAGTTAAGGTCCATTTTAGTTTGTTTTGAGTGTAGAGGTTTAGTGTAACTGTAATTTACGTAGTTTTAATTATTTTTGGGATAAAAAATTACCTATATTAAAAATGATAGGAATCGATTCAGTAAACGATTCTGAACAAACTACTTTCTCAAAGTGCGTTAATTATGTTACATGTTGTTTATACTAGCTTATTTCGACGACCTTTTGTCATGTCTTATTAAAACTCCTTAAATTCTCAAAAAAATTGTGGGTCACTCATGGGCAAAAAACTATCCTATTTCTAAAGTTGGACCAAACTGCACACGGTGTGCAAATTTGATTAAAATCGGTTAAGAAGTTTAGGAGTCCATCGTGGACAAACAACGTGACACGTAATTTATATATACGTAATGTATTAAGATTAAGATCATATGCGTTGGATAGAAGAATGTTTAACTGGCTTTAGTTCGGATTTACTTTGTTTTCATGCCGGGTCCTATAATGTGGAAAGAAGAGATTATGCTCTTAAAATTACATATTTTCTCAGACCTCTTTTCAGTAAATGTACAGCGTAAAGTTGTGATTATTGCGGTGATATTTGTGCTTGTTGTGGCTTTCGTACTGGAGCATCGCGTCGGACTAACCATCTCAGAAATGCGAAGAGCCCTGTACCCAGCTAAACTGTTGAAAACACAAGCACAACTTTTAAGAAAACACAAAACTTTTATATGTTTTCCTCAACAAATCAAGAAGATGTGCTAAGTATTACAGCCGGTCCATTATTCCGATGTAATCCCACAGAATAGCGATTTCAGACACTTGGTTTATTTTTTAATTTTCAGGGTTGTTTTTATAATTAGGCCCTTCCAGCTTTAAGTTTAACAATTTTAAAAGATAATGAATCTTAAAATCTATTACCGAGGTTTTCATTCACTAATAATAACATGTAAAAGGTGACCTATTTAGGTATTTTGTTAATTCCTTATATGGGAATGCTAGAAGGAAAATTTAAGTTCATACACAATTCGATGTGATTTTAAGCAAGTTCTATATTATATTTAAGATGATTTTGCAATCATTATGTAATTATATTTATATATAAATTATGTAAACATCTTGAACTTTTTAATACTCAGAATTAAGAAACGAGATTTTTTGATATGAAACACTATTACGACGTATGGAATATTCTATTTATTATACGCTTGTATAGTTTTATATAATACTTAGTTATTTTCGTAAAGATAATATTTTTTTTAAGTTCTTATCTTTTGTATTTTAATTTAATACGCACATCCTATTTTACGTGACAAATAAATACAAATTAAATTTTAAAAGTATGATCATTCTTTGCCGTACTACGAAGAGTTTTTTTTTTTAATAATGTGAGATGAAATGTTGCATTGTCGTTCAATGTCAATGACACAGTTGAAACGCACAACCGCAATTTTTTTAAATAATCTACAATAAAGCGAAACTCAGCGGAACTTCTCCGGGTTATTAACCTGTGCATATTGTATGGTTGTAGTACCATATAATTTCCTAATTATCTTTATTTTGTATATGTTGTTAGGTAAACAAGCTTATTAATTTATAAATACAACTGTGGTGTAGATTATTATATTGCCCATTGAACGAAGTAGAATAAAGTTACAACCGTTGGGACGTATATACGTCCCAATGCTAGGTAAATTTTAGTTTTAGCTTTAGGGCAAGGAAATGACGTGAATGTTGGCGAACTTCACATTCTTCGAAATATTTTTTTTCTTATTTCTCAGACATGCAGGTTTCTCGCTGATGTTCTCCTTCACCGTCGAGCACGTGCTAAATCAGCACTTAAAATTGCAATTAACGATTTCATTTGTGCTACCGGAGATCGAATCCAGGTTACTTGTGTACTGTGTCATTTATAGCGAGCGCTAGCCATCTGAGCTACCACAGTTCGTTTCAATGTAACTACGTTTAACTATTATTTGTTCTGTGGTTTAAATTAAAATGGATTTAAAGTACATGCGTGTTTATTTGATCGATAATGAGACTGCCGTGATGGTATAGGTCCCAGTTAGGTAGGTAGTTATTGAGTTTTTCTGTTTAGAAATGCTCAGTAGTAGCCCTGAGTCTGAAAGTTGGCGGTATTTCACTTTCATGCCTCGGAAAGCACGTAGAGCCATTGGTCCTGCGCCTGATCTCTCTCTGGTCGAGTCAGATTGCAGACGTTTCATGAGAGTGAAGATAAAGAGGATGCACCTGGGCTTGTGCATACACTCGGGCTCTATAATACTGTTCTGCTCAGATGGCTAGTCTCCCGATTATGAATATCTGTTTCTTAGGCACGCTCCGTAGCTCGGCTTGGATTTATTTTAACATATGGGTTGTCGTAAGATTCCTCTTAGTTGTGGAGGTGACATATGGCATATATATCGTTTTTTAAATTATTATTTTAAATTATTATTTTAAATTATTATTTTAAATTATTATTTTAAATTATTATTTTAAATTATTATTTCCACCATTTGGCTTGTTGCCTCTACCTATAATATATGTTGATGTTTAAGAAGTAAATAATTAGGTCTAGTTCAGAAAAACGATTGTGTTAAGTTGAAGGTCAGTTATACATATACTAAAATAAATGATACCGTTACCGTTTCAGCCTATGAAAGTCCACTGCTGAACATAGCCCCCCCCCCTAAGATTTAGGGGAATATTGCCATAGTTGTCACGTTTGCCAAGCGTGTTGGCAACCGCATTTTTAACTTCACAATGGAAAGTTATTGTAATGGGTCCGATTTTGCAAATTGGAAATTTAACATACCTCCACGTTTCAAGGTCTTTAGAGTCGAATAGTATGGTTTTTAAGAGAATGTCCGTGTGCGCACATGTACGTATGTATGTATGTTCGGATTTCATTTTCGCCTCGTATATCTTGAGAACAAGGAGTGATACCTACATGGAACCAGTTTCATTTAACGCATAATTATGTAACTTAGATCTCATTAAATTTTGAGCAAAATTGGTCGTCATTTTTTGTGCCGAATGAAAAATTATATAAAATATTAAAACATATGATATTTTTTTATTCTTTCCACCTGGAAGTTAGTCATGTGGACCTTTCAGATCACACCTAGACCGTTTTTTTTGTCGTTATTAAGAAAATACCGAATATATTGAAAATTATAACACTGCCAACCGAAACAAAATAAAATCTTTTGATAAAGATCCACACTCGTAATAAACATGTATATATATTGCTTAAATACGGACGAGAAACGAATTCTCAGTTGTATTCGAATTGTCTGTATGTAGATTGGACAATATCAAAGACTTCTATAAATACTACATGTCTTTGGGTAATATTTAGCCAGTCCGTAAAAGACCACGTTTGGGCCTCACCCCACTACAGGGATGATTTGACATAATCGTCACGATCAGCAGCTGTTTTTAAACAGCTTTGTATTATAATCTATAAATTGAGAGAAAAACTAAAAAAAGCATGATTACATCATTTTATAGGAATACCCACTTGTTTTCACATTTTAGTTGAAATATTGAATATCATAAAATGTTCATCGACTTTTATCACTTAATTAATAATATTGTAATTATTTGTAACTTGCTCTTACTTTATTCAGAGCAACTTAAGGAACTACGAACGTATAGTACCTATGTTAAATTATACTTTTACTATTTAACTATATTTAATATTATAGTTTTTAAAATGTCTAAAAGGATTTCGGTGCAACAACTGCTCGTTTATAGTAGGTAAATGTGTAGGTATATATATATAGAAGTAAATAATATGTATAGAAGTATATGATATATCGCCATAAATTGAAATTTATTAATTAATTAATTTTAATTTAAGGTGCTAATTTAATACGTGTTTTTGTCAGTAAGGAAAACATCATACCAAAACCTGTATATCTGAGCAATAAAACATTTTGAAGACATGCGGAGTCCGGGGTGATTTCAAAGATATGGGAACAGCACAGCGGAATAATTTTTCTTTTAGAACTAACCTACCCTAACAACTGTGTTAGCGTTAGGGTAGCTTAAACCTTGGGCCACCCCAATGCCGCGAACTTGCATGCACACAAGATTTCAACCCTATCCAAATACTGTCCAGTATTGCAGTCAGTTATAGCTAAGCTATTATCGTGCGTTTAAAAATAAAGTTTAAGATCTTTATATGACATTATATGCCATTCTGAAAAGGAAAAATATGCCTTAAACGAGTTCTTCGTGAAGAACGATAAATACAAAATACTTAGTAACAAGTAGTACAGTTTTCTCGGCACTGTAATATAACTTTGAGATTAGTGCGAACCCATATAGAACCATCTTACAAAAGTACAAGTTGGCTATAAGATATAATATACAACATAATTCCTTTTTGCAAAATGCCACATATGTACTTTACCTTTTTTAATTTTATTATTACTATCTGGCCAGGCAGATGTTATTCTGTCCTTGCCGATAACCCTTCCTATAAAAAGTCCTTAATCTTACAGTAAAAAATATCGAGGGGTCACCCGGTATAAAAACTATCTTTTCAAGTTGGACCAAACTGCACACAGTATGCAAAATTTCATTGAAATCAGTTCAGTAGTTTAGGAGTTCATTACGGACGAACAATGTGATACGAGATTTTAGACGTATAAAAGACATATGTAGTTATTTTAAAATTAACAAAATGTGTTTAAGAATTTTTATTTAACATAAGACGTGTATTAGTGTACATAGCGTAGTTAAGAATAAATCTATATCCAGAAGTGTAGGTGATGAATTGATGATGATTAATAGAGCCATAAATAATTTTTTTAATTCTTACCTTTGTTCATGCTGACTGTATATCCAATGTCTTCGAACAGTATATGCACAGGCGGTCGCTTAGCCATACGATTAAGTGCCTTGAGAGTAGAACCAGCCCTTTCTAACGCCGCAGGAGTCCATTGATTTTCAGTAGTGTTCAATTCCAAAGGGTTAGGGTTACTGGAAGGCGACGCGGTGTGAGCTAGCGTAGCCCCAACGATCGCTTTCCGTACCAAAGGAATATTCGACATTATTTCGCGCGGTCAATTTGTCCGTAGAAATATTAATAAAACAATTTCAAAGTCAAATTTTAAAAGGTAAACGTTATTAAGATAATTTTAATATCGAATTTCAGTTTATTGCGCGTCCATACTTGCGCGGGAGATGCGGCAAGCAAGCAACGCGCCCACTGAGTCCAAAACTCGCGAGCCTACTAAAATATTATCATGGAGGTAGTTCCTCTTCATCTTGTGTTGACACGCTGCCGGTAGAAGATAACGTATGACGCATTTTCCTCGGCTGTCATTACCATTTTTTAAACGGATTTTTAATTGACTAGTTTCAGATTGCATTACACTGCAATGCTGTTACGTGTATATATCTTAAAGGGTTATAAAATAAAATTTTAATTGATTTTTTACGTAATTGTATTTTACATTCACTATTTGTTTGTAAACAGTAAATCTACATTAATCTATTTCTTTTATTAAGAAAACATTTTATGATTATTTAAATGCACTTTTCAAATTAATTATAAATATTTTAACATAAAATGATGATCATCATCGTCATTATAGCCTATTGAAGATCCACAGCTGGACATAGGCCCCATAGATTGCCTCATAGCCTTATTTATTCCAGGCCTGTTGGTAATCTCAGTTTTTAATTATTTTGAGCTGTTGTCGGCTAAAAGATACTGTTGCATATCTCTTATTTCAGCTATGTTACTTTAAGAAGTATCTATAATAAGAGATAGGCGGTATCATTACTTTGACGCAATGTTGTAACAAGTTAACTTTTTTCTATGAAACCTATTGCCACAATAGATTTTATCTACAACTGGTTTCTAATAGCCACGTAATATTATATCGTTGTTCAAGAACTATTATTGTTTTGTGTCGTTAGCTAATAGTGGGTAGTTAATAAACGTTAAACGAAAATTAATTTTCAGTACCTACCAATATCTTTTTTGTTGACATTCAAATCTTTTCGGTCGTAAGTCGAGCACTTCTCTCTGGTCGCTAATCTGACTCCGTAGTGTATTACTAAATAAAAAAAAAACAAAGTTTCTTTCGTTTTCTTCGACACATGGTTTTTTATGTAACAGTAAGAGCGTATTCGATAATAAGTGTAACCTAATAAAAAAATTATTAAATTAAATTACATATTTAAATTCACGCAAAATGCTTCAACTTTTGGTCGTTAATTTAATTTCTTTTAGTATGGCTGCAACAACATATTGCATCATCCATCGTAAGAGGTTACATTTTTATTTTTGACTCTATACAATATCCAAGAGATGATAATATGGTGTAATGGATTTTTATAATAATAATGTCCTCCAGACCGAATTTCGGACAGGGCGCGGCGGCCAGATTTAACGGAGGCTATAAGCATCGACAGGATTAAAGTGCCCAATTGTACAAGTGCGCAAGCACAGGTGCACTCTCTATTTCTCACTCTCATAGTCCGATGGGAGGGTAGAACGACACGACCGGAGAGAGATCAGGCGCAGGACCAATGGCCTAATGTATTTTCCGAGGCACGTGGGTGAGACACCGCCAACTTCCAGACTCCAGGCAGCTACTGAGTATTTTTTGACGGAGAAACTTAATTACTGATTTTTTAAATAGCATTTAATCACAAAAATAACATTATTTTCAATATAAACCATAAAATAGAAATAAAGATTCATAATATAGAATAAATATATTCGATAGATAGAGAGATGAGATAAATACACATAGACACACACATATATATGTATATATACATATATATATATATATATATATATATATATATATATATATATATATAATGCTTATTTTAACATCTAATTGTATCCCTTATCCCGGTTGAACCGAACTATTGGTGCTAAGTAATTACTATAAGAATATTTTATTTGATACTCTATCGTTTTCTATATAAACATTGACTTTAAATGAGATTTCAAATTTGTATGCAGAGAAAAAAAACGAAAGTGTAAAAACTGTACGTCATGAAAGTACTTTTATGGGCGGCTATTAATAAAGAGTTAATAATTTAGTAAAAGCACCCATGACATTCATAACACATCTGCATCGGTTGGGCATACTCAGAATTATGTTGTCAATAACCTGTTCGAGGACTATTGTCCAAGTCCTACTGAAATGCATAAATAGCTGTTCTTCTGTAACAAGATTTTCAGGAAAATTCCTCTGAACTCTTCTTTTGTAAATATCCTAAGCATGCTTAATGGGATATAGCTCTTTAGAAATCTGGGGATTACGCTGGCCATTTTAATGCCATGACATCAAGTTCGTGCAACCAGGCTGTTACGGCCTTGGTCGTATGTGTACGGGTATTGCCGTTTTTTTAAAAGAATAAGAGTGGCAAACGAGCACACAGTCCACCTGAGTAAGTGGAAGCTGTGGCCCATAGACATCTGCATTTAGACAAGAATCAAAGTGCAGATGCATTGTCACCCCTGAGGACTAAGATGAAATGCCTCGTTTCTAGTAAAAAGAATATAAAAAAAAAAATATATATATATATATAAATATATGAAAGTACAAATATATATTTTAAAACTATTACATATAACATAAATGTGCCATTTATATAAACAGATGGCGCACAACAACAAGATAAAGGTAGAATAATAACATACATATGAATATGATAGAATTAAAGTTGAAAATAGTAATCATAATCATGTACGTGTTTCTTAAAAACCGGTAGGGATTGAGTACGTTTTGCTGATAACGGCAAGTCATTCCATAATCGGACAGCTTGTATTGTGAATGATCTGTCCAAAAATTTCGTAGTGTGAGCTGGAATTTTTTAGGAAAGTAGGATAGAAAGGTTTAAAAAGAATATTATAAAGAAGCAAGCGGGAGAATATGAGCAATCCGGCGAAGGCAAATTGGCAACCACTTGACCCTGTGACGAAAATCTGACACATGATCATATTTACGCAAACCAAATATGAATTTTATACAAACATTGAATTTCAGTGCGATCAAGATAGCTGACATCTACATAATCGAGGATTGGAAGCAGAAGACCTTGCACAAACGCAATCTTGGTGACAGTTGGTAAAAAGTTTCGTAGCCACCTCAAATAATGAGAAGCTGCAAAAAGTTTACGACTAACTGTCCTGTAACTGAGGACCCCAAGCTAATGTCGTATCGATGTATACACTCAAATTTTTGACAGTGTCACTAATCGGAATTATATTACAATCAAATACAACTTTGGTTGTTTGTGATAAATTACATTCTGTAAGCATATGTGGAGAACCTAAAATAATTATTTGTGTCTTCAGTGGGTTAAGAAACCATAATTTCTGCACCATTCCGAAATGATCCCTAGGTCACTGTTTATGGTTTTAATAGCAACAGCTAATTCACTAGGAGTAGCATGTGTCACATATGTCGGGTGTTGGGTAACACCTTGTATAACTTTGAAACGGCATCCAAAACACCTTATTACCGTTCCAAATAAATACAAATATAATATAAAAAAAAATAAAAAATATATATATTCTTTATAAAGAATATTAACAATGCTATAAACATTACTAATATTCCCCTTAACCACTTCTGGTAAGCTTAAATTGCTTGTGTTACGAGTGGTTCACACCAGTAGTCGAATGGTGGATTCGAACCCACGACCTTTTTGAGTTCGCGGTCCGCGCCCTGCCATTAGGCTACTGTCGCTTTTGTCACTAAAAAAAAAAAAAAAATATATATATATATATATATATATATATCCCAAGTAGGTATTAACTAAGGTACGATAACAGTAGGATATGATGTTTTAGACAAAATTACTGCTACTAACTTTACTCTAACTTTTTTTAATCTTATTTTACATTCTTCTTCACCACGATCACAAATAAATGAGTTTCATCGGTCGTTTGTTGTTATACCTAATTTTGTACGTTGACTACACCGAGAAAGAGCCAGTAAATAGTGTGACTAGCATATGCATTTTAAATTAAAAGTATACTTGAGTTATTTATTTAGTGCCGGATTTGAGAAAATTTTCTATTTTGATAATGTTTAATAATCATGGGTGTAAATTTTTTTATGACAACCTAAGTGGACAATTATATTAAAAGAACGAAAAAATTGTAATAAAAAAAGAAAAAGTATCTAGTGTAAGAAGCGAATTAATTCTATAATGTGTAAAATGAGTCAATTTTACTATACATGGTTATTTTTCAAAGAGTAGCCTTTTAAACTTACGTTCAAATGTATAAAAGATGCTGAGATACCGTTATTGCAGTTTTTGAAAATACGAGTAAATAAGACTTCTAATTTTATTGGAAATTATCTCAAATCGAATGTGATTTATGGGCAACAACGTTTTTGCCTACCGATCGACCCTGAGTGCGCAGTAAAATCAGTTAAAATAATGCATTACCAGTACGCTAGTAATATATTAGTCAATGATTACCAGACATATTAAATTTTAAGGATAAAAGGGACAGTATGCTTAAGCTTTTTTTTAAATTAACTTTTCTTCACCATTATATATTAATTGTTATTAACTTTTTTCTGAAACTTCCTTGCACATTTGGTAGGTTATTGCAAAATAACCCTGCATAACAAAATTTTGTGTACTTTAACTTACTTTTCCACACAATCCACTTGTTTGTTGTATTGCCTCGCATATCATTACTACTTTTGCCTTACCTACTTTTGATTTTGCTTATCAAAGATATCCACGTATAAAATATTTGTAATCTTTGGCACACGATTTCCATTTCCTGTCCAATACATTCCATTGCGTCGTAACACGAAAGGACATTAAACTTCCGCTCATTATCTCTTTGTTTTTAATTTTGATGACTCATTTGCATTTACTTTCAAAAAATATTTATTACGGTGCAGTTTTTGAAATGCATTTATTCCTTGTTTCTTTTTAAAAAATTCATTAACTGGCACGAACATTAGCTATACAATAATAATTTATTTACGAATTTTTAAATTTGTGTTTTTTCGATTTCTTTTGGATTCTTATTTATTAAGTTGTTTTATTT